GGTCAGGAGAAAAAAGGCTTTTCCCCATATGCGTCTTAAGCAAGACGCAGTACGAGTGAAGTATCGAAAGGGAACATGACAAACAAGCTGGAGTTTAGCGATCTAAATGAAAGCATCATTCAGCCGGTCTGTGTTCTGTCAGGAGATCTCGACACTTACTCAATCGCTGTTGTTTTAATAGAGAAATTGACTATTGCAATTATGGAATTAGTGGAATTACTAGGAATTTCACTGTTATATTTTTCGTTTGTGAAATTAACACTAATACACACAGAAGTTTAACATGTTATTAATGAGTGATTTCTCAACTTCAGTTCCCAGAGCAGTGTTAAGTGTTTCTCCACAGAAGTGGCTGACTGAAGGAGATCCAGTGACTCTGATCTGTCAGGTCAACGGCTCCTCTACAGGCTGGACATTCAGCTGGTACACTGAAACTGTCTCATCAGGTAAGATATAATGTGCTTCATGTAGTAACATCTGAATAAACTGGTTTCATAAAAAAAAAATATTATAGACATTAAAGATATTTAATCAGTCTGATTACTCTGATTATACCAACAAAGGTCATTTATAAGACTCATGTAAAAATGTCTGCTCATTTCTTGAGGTAACTGCACTTTTTCACTTTATACATATATTATAGAGATTAAAAATATTTAATCATTCTGAATACTCTGATTATACCAACAAAGGTCATTTATAAGACTCTCATTTCTTTGGGGTAACTGCATATTTTCACATTATACAGCCAACAGCATTCATTATAAGCGGCTCTCAGACAGCAGCAGGGGAGCTGGAGGAAACTACACTGTCAGTTCTGCTGCTCTAAAACACACAGGAGTTCATGTGTGCAGAGCAGAGAGAGGAAAACCAGCTTATAACTCAACCATCAGCAACACACAGTTAATATGGGTCACTGGTGAGTTCAAACTGAACCACACTCACTTTCCCTTGATCTTTTTAGAGCTTGATGTGTCTTGAAATGTTGTCCTGTCATAATATACAGCTACTTTTTAATGGTGTCAATGGAGAAAGATGCTTTTGCTGTCAGGTGTAGACTGCATCTAGCAGGGCCTAAACAGACCAAACTAACCAGCAAAACCTTGATTCCTGGGTTAGCTGCAACGATGTAAAACGTTTAATTCTAATGGAGAAAAATTGTCATGAAGAACTAAAATATAACTACTGTGGAACAAAAGTGTTACTTGCACAAGTGAACTTGAGGGAACATAATCAAATGTATAATCTGACCTTTTTAATAAATAGTGTTTTTATTGTGAAATTTATTAGAACTTTAATATTTTTCTGAAAAGCTGAAACAATTTAAGTTGTGTGAAGTGTTAAATCAATAAAACTGTCTTGACTTGATTTCCAGTGTAGTTGAAGTGTAGTTGTAATTGTCATCTCAGGTGTTTCTCCTCCAGTCTCTCTGATCGTCAGTCCCAGCAGAACTCAACACTTCACAACTGACTCTCTCTCTCTGAGCTGTGAGGACCAGAGTAACTCTACTGGATGGAGAATGAGAAGATACAGAGACAGTGGGCGGCTGGAAGGTTGTTCATCAGTTTGGGGATCACAAACAGGATCTACATGTACAATCAGATCCACCATCCCAAAGGACACTGGAGTGTACTGGTGTGAGTCTGAATCTGGAGAGAAATATCATCCTGTTAATATCACTACACTGTGAGTCTGTGTTTCTATATTTATTAATTTCATAAAGCCCTAATTTTATGTTTCAGATATAAATAGCCGAATTGTGATCTCAATTAATTCACTCACGCAATCTTATTCCTAAATGACAACTAGTCCGCAAGACTATTAAACTTTTGACCATTAAACCATTGCTCAACCTTTGACATTAAAAAAAAATAAAATCATTTTGATTCTCAATTTAATCGTGCAGAGAAAATGTATTATAATTATCATTATTATTGATGTATTGATTATTGTAACTCCTATTTGGGTTAGGTCTCAAACTTCTCCATAAACTAGAACGTACTAGAACAGCTTCTACTCGGCAAACTCGTCGCCCAATTTGCGTCATTCGCGTCTATTCGTGTTTTTGATTGTATTTGATTTGATTGTATACTGTCTTGTAATTTATGGTTGTCATTAAGTTGTAAGGTTTTCTTGCGTGTTTTGAATGGCACCTCTAAATAAAATGCTTTATTATTATTATTATTATTGTTGTTGTCACCACATTGATTCTTACTATTTGTCAGTTGATGTTTGCTCTGTGTTCTTGCGTGTTTTGAATGGCACCTCTAAATAAAATGCTTTATTATTATTATTATTGTTGTTGTCACCACATTGATTCTTACTATTTGTCAGTTGATGTTTGCTCTGTTTCTGTAGTTGGTGTGATTCTGGAGAGTCCTGTTCATCCTGTGACTGAAGGAGAAACTCTGACTCTACGCTGTTTATATCATCATTCAACCCCACCAAACCTCAGAGCTGATTTCTATAAAGATGGATCACTCATCCAGAATCAAACTACAGAGATGATCATCCCTGCTGTCTCAAAGTCACATGAGGGTTTCTACTCCTGCAAACACACAGAGAGAGGAGAGTCACGCAAGAGCTGGATCTCAGTCACAGGTGAGAGTAGGAACTGTAAACACTATTGAAATGCTTCTGGATAATATACAGCACTAATGTGACTGTACAATGTATTGATCTCAGCTTCCTCCAGAACATCAGGATCTGATGGTTTCAATCCTGTGATAGTTGGAGTGACTGCTGGACTCACATTTTTAATCATTGTCTTCTTGGTCCTGCTGTGGCGCTACAGAAACAACAAAGGTTCATCTTCTGCCATATTAAAATTCAACGACACATTTCCTAAACCTGTGACCTGTCGTCCTTCAACAGCTGGTTATCTGATCTTAGCCGGTCTCCCAACCTGGCAAAACTTGTGTGTTGACTGATTTTAAAGGGTTTGGGGGTAGTTTTCTGCTGGTACTACTCCAAATAATAGACTTCTACAAATTAGCCATTTATGTATGCATAAAGGAGATAGACCCCCTTATTTCCTCAAATATTTTCCTGAACATTTTCTGTTGGACTAGGTGAAAGATCTCAGTCTGCCTCCAGTGTCAGTCAACAGCAGAACAGCAGTCAGACATCAGAGCAGAACCAGAGTGAAGCGGGACATAAAGCACTCATGTCTGGTGAGTCTTTACCCATTAACCATAAATATTTTATAATAAATCTTTACAAGCTGAGATTGAAGATACTTAGAAATAACTTTCAACTCACAAGACCGATCTCACACTAAATAATTTCCCCCTCTTCTAAAGTGTAATGTGATATCTGTGTAACTGACATTTCAATTACATGTAATTCAGTTTCATTTCATTATCAATAATTCATAACAAAATATTTTATGTAATTTAGAATGTTAATAGCACATTACATATTTAGCTGAGTTAAGCTTTAAGTCAGTGTCAACATGAAAACAATATTTTTATGTAGGCTCAGATTCATGAGATGCATTAATTTATTACAGGAACTGCTCATATTTATGATTCTCTTGATGCCACAACTAACAAAAACATAAGCACAGGTAACTAATGATGTTACAGAAGGTAATTATGTCATGTCGATCACTTACTAAGGCAGTAGTTATTTTCTAAACAATCAAATCTATCTTACATTTCACTGGGATATTTGCAGAGCAAATTCAGTTAAAACAAATGTCTTATTCTTTTCTCTGTTATTCATTGTAGACATTGTAAGTGGACCTACTGAAGTCACCTATGCTGAGATTGAACTCAAATCTACAGAGAAACAGAAGAAAAAGAAAGAAAACAAAGGTAAACTGAAACGAAAGCTCATGCTCTTATGGTTTTATGATCATGACAGTAAGTTGTGACTGAAGGAGAAACTCTGACTCTACGCTGTTTATATCATCATTCAACCCCACCAAACCTCAGAGCTGATTTCTATAAAGATGGATCACTCATCCAGAATCAAACTACAGAGATGATCATCCCTGCTGTCTCAAAGTCACATGAGGGTTTCTACTCCTGCAAACACACAGAGAGAGGAGAGTCACGCAAGAGCTGGATCTCAGTCACAGGTGAGAGTAGGAACTGTAAACACTATTGAAATGCTTCTGGATAATATACAGCACTAATGTGACTGTACAATGTATTGATCTCAGCTTCCTCCAGAACATCAGGATCTGATGGTTTCAATCCTGTGATAGTTGGAGTGACTGCTGGACTCACATTTTTAATCATTGTCTTCTTGGTCCTGCTGTGGCGCTACAGAAACAACAAAGGTTCATCTTCTGCCATATTAAAATTCAACGACACATTTCCTAAACCTGTGACCTGTCGTCCTTCAACAGCTGGTTATCTGATCTTAGCCGGTCTCCCAACCTGGCAAAACTTGTGTGTTGACTGATTTTAAAGGGTTTGGGGGTAGTTTTCTGCTGGTACTACTCCAAATAATAGACTTCTACAAATTAGCCATTTATGTATGCATAAAGGAGATAGACCCCCTTATTTCCTCAAATATTTTCCTGAACATTTTCTGTTGGACTAGGTGAAAGATCTCAGTCTGCCTCCAGTGTCAGTCAACAGCAGAACAGCAGTCAGACATCAGAGCAGAACCAGAGTGAAGCGGGACATAAAGCACTCATGTCTGGTGAGTCTTTACCCATTAACCATAAATATTTTATAATAAATCTTTACAAGCTGAGATTGAAGATACTTAGAAATAACTTTCAACTCACAAGACCGATCTCACACTAAATAATTTCCCCCTCTTCTAAAGTGTAATGTGATATCTGTGTAACTGACATTTCAATTACATGTAATTCAGTTTCATTTCATTATCAATAATTCATAACAAAATATTTTATGTAATTTAGAATGTTAATAGCACATTACATATTTAGCTGAGTTAAGCTTTAAGTCAGTGTCAACATGAAAACAATATTTTTATGTAGGCTCAGATTCATGAGATGCATTAATTTATTACAGGAACTGCTCATATTTATGATTCTCTTGATGCCACAACTAACAAAAACATAAGCACAGGTAACTAATGATGTTACAGAAGGTAATTATGTCATGTCGATCACTTACTAAGGCAGTAGTTATTTTCTAAACAATCAAATCTATCTTACATTTCACTGGGATATTTGCAGAGCAAATTCAGTTAAAACAAATGTCTTATTCTTTTCTCTGTTATTCATTGTAGACATTGTAAGTGGACCTACTGAAGTCACCTATGCTGAGATTGAACTCAAATCTACAGAGAAACAGAAGAAAAAGAAAGAAAACAAAGGTAAACTGAAACGAAAGCTCATGCTCTTATGGTTTTATGATCATGACAGTAAGTGTACAGCAGAGCTAAAGACCTCTGGGGTAAAAAGCTCCGTTGATTTTAATTTCTCCCACAACACTAAATAGCAACAAACACCACCAGCATTTTCCTGAACAGCCGTTGTGAAATCAGCCTGATCCATAAAGGTCATTGCATGCAAATTACAATACAATATTTTGAGGTAATTTGGTCAAACATATAATAGTTTTTAAAATCAATTATTTTATTCTCTCTGTAGAAGTTGAAGAGATTTTATGAATATAATGATGACGCATTTCATATCACTGTTGGACACACAGTAAGCACTAGTGATATTAACTGTTGGCATCTTTCAGGTAATACCAGTGAAAGTTCAGACACCGTGTACTCTCAACTGAATCTGGTAACCCATCAATGTGAGTCTCAAAGTAAAAACATCAATCACAAGGAGCCACTGACAACTGCATACAAGCATCGTTGAGAATCTAAGAATAAAATGAAGTATGCAAAAATTCAAATGTGCATTTTAGCATTTTTAATTGATTTACACATTTTCAGCTGCTCAGGTTAAATAAATGGCTGGAGGAGAAACATTCAATCCCAGGACGCTGATGAGTTTAGGCTGAGAAGGGCTGGAGAATGACCAGGATCATCAATTCTTTATCATCTTTGTGATGCTGACCACTTGATGGCAATAGAGTTATCAGCCTTCATGTGGTTCAGTGACTACGCATGCTAATCTTTGAAAAGCAATGAGATTTACACATTATACATTGGAAAAAAACAGATGATCTTTTAGTACTGCACACAGTGTTTATTTTTATTGGTTGATACCAGCAGAGGCAGCAGCTCATTATTTGACTGTTGATTGAGACCAGGTTTCTTTTTTTGTGTGTCTTCTTGATTTTAAATGTATTTGCAACATAGTCATGAACAACCTAGAAATACCAGGCAATTTAATATGGTGACTTCCAGGTCTGGAAGAGTTGTATATGATCGGCAAATGTACACTGAACAAAATTATAAACGCAACACTTTTGTTTTTGCCCCCATTTTTCATGAGCTGAACTCAAAGATCTAAGACTTTTTCTATGTACACAAAAGGCCTATTTCTCTCAAATATTGTTCACAAATCTGTCTAAATCTGTGTTAGTGAGCACTTCTCCTTTGCCGAGATAATCCATCCACCTCACAGGTGTGGCATATCAAGATGCTGATTAGACAGCATGATTATTGCACAGGTGTGCCTTAGGCTGGCCACAATAAAAGGCCACTCTGCAAAAGCAAAAGTGTTGCGTTTATAATTTTGTTCAGTATATATGATGAGTATATTTTTTTGTAGCTATGCTCAACTGTAAAATGATTTTAAAAATCCTTATTCTGCAATCACAAACAACTGAAAAATTGAAATTGAAATAATTGAAAAATTAATTAGTCAAACAGTTAGGGAATTCTGTTGTAGCTTGCTTGTTTGTCTTAGACAATTTATGTTTTCAGAATACAATTAGAAGCTTTAATATCGTAATTTTACTGTAACTTTAAATATTCTTATATTTATAAAATATCTCATTGCTATAAATACCTCTATGTGAGTCTAATCTTTAGATTTTAAAACTGCTTTAAAAGTTTTTCACTTCACTTGTTCTTCTCAGTTGGAAATTAGAATAATTGTTCACAATTATAATTATAAACTGTAGTTTTGCTGTAATATGTATACTTCTTGTTTATACCTTTATTACAATAAAATAAGATCTAATTGCTACAATGCTAGTATGTAGCGTGAGCGACTTGGTCATCATAAATGTGATGCAACATAACATTCATGTTTATGGTTGAGCAAATATGTATAAATATCTCTGAACAGATTGAACAGAACTGAATTTACATCTAAACACGTCTTCAATGTCAATCCCAATACTTTTTTTATTGTTTCTAAGAGAATTAACTTGTCAATATCCTTATGCAATTTTTTATTTTGAAAACTAGGAGTAGGTCTAGGTTGAAATTGGTGCCAAATTGTGTTTGTGACATTGCAGATTCATTAACTACTTCCGCATTTCCTGAAATCCCTCGCCCATATTGTTCAAACATGAACAAATAAGTGTCTGACACACACTGTGTATCTATGTGACCAGAAAAGGAAGCAAGGTTTGGAGCCTATTATCCATCTGATCATTTAGATCCCATCAAATCCACAGATTCTGCATCTTGGCTCTGTCTGTGAGCTGTGAGTGTGGAAAATTTTATTAATCAAAATATGAACTAATCAAGTATAATCAATGTGAATCTAGCCATTTATGTATCAAGTTATTCTACTGTTATAATCATGTATCTGCCTGTGTGTGAGGCCTGCATGAGAATGCAATGTGCAGACAGTGCAGGGGTACAGTATATGGTGGAGCTGCACACTCTATATGATTAGGCCTCCTCGTTTCACTTAAAATAAATTCTACATCCTAAAAGCAGGCTGGAGACACAGCCAAAAGAGGTAAAAGAGTTGATAAACAATAACCATATGTATGAAATGTATTGAACATTGGGCACGCCTCCGGGAAGCACTGTATAAAAGAGAGTACAGACACAGACTCTATAGATTGTTCTGCAGAGCTTTCTTGGTTTTATTGTCTGACAATAAAATCTCTTCTGGCATCAAAACCCCCAAGACTTTGAGAGTGATTTTTCACAGCAGCGGCAGAAGCCACCACAAATTGGCGCCCGAACAGGGACTGGAAAGAAGCAGAGGGTGGAAGACCACTTTGGGCTGGCTTGATGAACAACGCTAACAGTGGCCACTAAAAATTAAGGTAGGCAGTTTTTTGCTTATATAATTGGTGTTTGCCAGAGTCGGCCAGTGGTGGTATGGACACTCGAAAATGCTCCTCCAAATTTAAAGAACAAAAAGAAAAAAGGGGTTTTGGTTCCAGAAGAAATAATTGCATGCACTGATCTGTTTTACTGTAATAGTAAATGAGGGCAGATTGTGCATGCAAAAATCTGTGTTTACTGCCAAGAGGGCCTTTGATGGATGGCAGTAGACGTTAAGCAGATATACATTGCATGCAATGGTCTGTGTTTATTGTTAAGTGGGCCTTTGATGGATAGCAATAAACATTAAGCAGATAAAGTAAAGGGAAGTGCGCAAAGTCCTACAGATAGGCAAAAATTCCTGCGGGGTACTGCTTTTTTACTGTGTTGAGGAAGTGTATCAGTGAAAGAGCGAGTAGAACTGACAGGTCACTCAGGAAGAGTGTGTAGTCTATGTAAATGTATGTGTCTGTGTTTGTCTGAGTGTATTTGTGACTCTGTGATCTGGTGGGGCAAGAGATGCGCACCCCTCCTAGACCCTCACTTGAGGGTCAGGTCGCGGAGACGGACGCAGCTGGTGTTACACTGGAGAATGAGTGTATGAGCCCTATCTAAAAAAGGGACAAAGAATGAGTGTATGAGCCCTAAACAATGAAGGGACTTGTATGAATGTTTTTTTAAAAAGTGTTCCAAGATATGGACTTTGCAGATGATTAAAATAATAATATATTAATTAAAATAAGATATACATTTATTATTTAATGACATCTTAATAGATAAATAAATAAATAAGTTTGCATGTGCTTAAAACTTTATATCTAATATGTGAAGACTTCTAAAATTTGTATCTTGTTATCCCTGGGAGACAGTATGAAAGTTCATCTACTACAGAGTTTCAGAGATTTAGGCTTGAGTTAACTAAAAGATAACTTGTGTAGTGCAGTGTGAATAAGAGCAAGATTAGGTGACCAAGTTCATAGAAATTTTGATTCAAAAGCTATAGACATTTTACAATAATAATGGAACTTGTTGATGCAGTGTTCAAATATAGTAATAAAATAAAATAAAAGGAATTATTTTATGTTGGTTGGGAAAAATTAATTCACCATTAGCAGATTATTCTGAATCATGTATGCAAATATAGAAGAAAAATTATGATTGAAGTCTTTATTTTACCATACGCATGTCATATTGTTGTAAAAGAAATGATTATTTTGTTTTATTGTAGTATGCTTAGATAATAAAGGTAGCTGCTTTCTGCATTTTGCGAAGAAAAAACTGCTTGCTGTTTTCCGGCAATGAAGAACTTGCTTTACTAAAATAGAATAAGGGAACTGCTGTTTTTAACCAGATGAGATTGTTTTTTATTAAGGGACCATTGAAAGAGATGGTTGAAAAGTGAAAATTAGATAAAGAGCAGATTGCTCAGACACAATTTGGTCAGAGTTTACAAAGGTTCAATTTGATTAATGCAGTCTCTGAGTGTTCAAATTTCAGATGACTTCTGGAACAGTGCCTTGACAAAGGGAAGCAATGAACTGGAGTCTGTCTAACAAAGTGATGAAGAAGCAAAGACACAGCTGCAGAGAGAAGAGGGAGAGGTTGATGAACATTCACCTCCCCTTTACTGAAAGAGTTTACACTTCAGCATGGAGAAAGACTGACTTAATGCAGGAAAAGGTGATTCTTTCACTTGAGACTTTCCTGAAAGTGAAGAGAACATCGTGAAATGCAAAACTCTGGCAGAAGCAATCAAAAGCCAGACTGAGGAGAGGCAGAGAAACAACAGAGACCATACACCACAACATCAGGCCTTTGAGTGCCATCACAGACTGACGACCCAGTGCAACAGCACAGGCTGATGATCTAACCAGAAGGACTTTCATCCCTTCCCTTTGCGTGCACAAGTGCTGCATATTTAATGATCACTATAGAGACTGCTTCAAATTGTATTAATTATTTTATTAACTATATTAATCTTGATTATTCACTGGTCTCACAGCAGTTCTTTTAATTCTGTGTTTTAACTAACATTCTCAATCTCTTTTCAATAGGTACCAGTCCAGCCTTATGTCTTAAAGAAAAAGTAATTATGACAGACAGAAGTGGGTGCTTGAATCACCAATCAGATAAAAATGGAGCTGGATTTAGCATAGTGAGGGAAATTTCATTAACCAACAAGGGGGAAATGCACAACTGTTGTGCACTGCCTTTGATCTAAAGTTAGGAGCATGGGAAGCATGGTTAACTAAATTGGGAATGTTTTTAGGACTTGCAGTATTGATAGGAAGATTACTATTTTACTGTGTACTTCCTATATTGAGGTCACTAATTATCAAAGCCACAACTAAGCAAATGGAAATTCTAAGATGTGAAGATGATGGGAAAGGGATTTTTGAGGGTAACCAAAATGGCCTTCTACAATGTGCAAAGTATCTGGGCTGAAGATCAACTATGCTATTTTTGTGATGTTACATGTTTTATGTCTTGAATTTTCTAGGGCTAGATTGAATAAAATAATAATAAAAAAATTTACTCCAAAGATCCAAAATCGTGAAATCACATATGCTGTCATCACTGGGGATAACAAGATGGAAATGTTGATGGCCAT